TTCTTGTGTGCTCCCAACCCAACTTTCACTTGTGCTGTTGCGTTTTTATATACTCAAAAAGAGAGACTCTCTTTTGGACTATCGGAGTCCCGTTGGCTGATGCATGCCCTGTTTTGATCGAACCCTTTTGCAAAGTATGCCAGGTCAATTTCAACTCAAACTCAAGCCCAAATCTTCAGGAGAGACATTTGGCATCAACGTGCAGTGTCCAGCATCAGCGTTCAAAACGTGCGAGGAGGCACTAAGAGTGCAAAAATCTTGAAGGAAACTGCGAAACTGCACTGCATCTCAAGTTGCACATGCGTCTAGAAAAGGAAATGTGAAGAATTTGGCTGTGCAAATCAACAAAAACAAAGACATATACTCGGGAGAGTGTTCATCGGTCATTTTCTAGTGATTCTAGTGGGGCATCTCTTTGGGGGAGCTCCCCTCGCTTCCGCAGACATTGAAGGTGAGCGTTACCTGTGTTCTTGATTACGAGCTTTGACATTTGCTGAATGTTGCTCACATCAATGATTCAAGGTAATGTTTGTGATGCCTAAGTAATTCAAAAATGATTTATACTAATATTGTAATTGTTGATATTCTGTCGATGGACGGCAAACATATCTGCCACCGTGATGAATGCATGTGCATTGTGTGTTTTATGTCGTCTTGGACCGACACGACTGCTTTCCCACATGCTCTTCTTTCCATTCCGCTCATGCAAGGCTTGGTTTGGCAGCGCATGACAATTGCACACGTCTCTTGGGCTGACAAGACTGCCTATCCGAAAGTGCAACACTTCTTAAAACTCTTTTGATGGTCTCGTCTTGCATTCTTGCAGTTTCCAACCCAATAGCGATGGCCTTCATTCTAATAGCGATGAGTAATTTACATTGTTCCACTCTTGCAGCCTCCATGGTGGCCACCAAGGCCTCCATGATCTCATGCCGCTCCAAGCGCTTCCGGTCCAAGGCAGCCTCCGCCAAAGCGAAGCCGTCCTCCAGCCTACATCGCCACATGTTGGCACAACGCGTCACGAACCAAAGGAGAATGGCTTTGTAACAATGTGGCAATGCTGATGGGTTGAAAATCATGGAACATCTCAAAAGAGATCCACATATGCGCCGTATTCGAATCAACACCCTGGAAATCCGTCCCAGTCGACTGTGCATGGGTGGCCAATGTCACATGCCAAATAGCACTTCCAACAAACCCATGAGACTCCGCAGGTGTGGGATGTGCCGCCGAGAAACCCAACGTCAATAGCTTCCAAAATGGCTTCCTCAAATTCGGCACTTTGAGCTCAGCGCAGCGACGTGCAGTATGTGACGTGATGCTTGCTAACACTAGTGTGACTGCAGCGATGCAGGATGCGATGCAGGATGGTGCAGGGAATAGAATCACTTTCAACTTTCAACCAATCTTCGCAAACAAGACTCAAGAATGCAAGTAAGAATGGGTCCCTCTGCGCCTTTCTTCTGCTATTGCTATGGGCCAGCGCCAGTGAATGCGTTGAGTGTTGAGGTTTCTTGCCAATGGATGAGATGCTTTTTTGAACTGACCAAGGTGATGTCCACTCGCCCAAAAAGGGGCAGGAGCTGAAAACAATTGAAAACATGTATTGAATGGGAATTGTATGCTTTCCTTCAGGTTGATCGGCTCCCAAAAGTTGGTGCAACACTTTAGTCACTTTTTGTCTTTATCCTGTGAGCTTCATAGAGTCAAAGTGCTGAAATGTGTTGAACCTTCCCCAAGCATCCGCCAAAATGTCCCAAACATTCTCAATCTGAATATCTCAGCATTCTTGGGCAAGTGTCTTGAAGTTCAGTTTCAGAACCATCTTGTGCGAGGACCTCGAGCTTGGCCGCTGCACGCTGGCGCTCTGCCAGGGTGCCAATGGCTCCAGGAGCCTGGAGCTCTTGGAGAATCACCTGACGCTCTGGAATGCTCTGGCTCATCGGAGGTTTGAGGAAAACAAAAGGTCTTCTGGTATGGAAGTGATGGGAAGCTTCAGTTTCACAGCCCCACATCAATCGCCTGAACAGCTGCCAATCCTTCCTCATCCACACCCGCAGCGGTTGCATCTTGAATGGCCCGATGCAAGGCATCTGCGTCTAAGTCTCCGAGGGCTGCCAGCAGTTTTCGATGGGCGCGACTTCGGGGTGACTCCTGGGAACTGCCCAGCGGCTTGCCTACCAACCGACTAGAAATGGCCTCCAACCTAAGAGCGCTGGCCTCCAACCTACTAGCAGCGGCCTCCAACCTGAGAGCGATGGCCTCCAACCTACTAGCAGTGGCCTCCAACCTAAGAGCGCTGGCCTCCAACCTACTAGCAGCGGCCTCCAACCTAAGAGCGATGGCGTCCAACCTACTAGCAGCGGCCTCCAACCTAAGAGCGATGACCTCCAACCTTCTAGCAGCGGCCTCCAACCTAAGAGCGATGGCGTCCAACCTACTAGCAGTGGCCTCCAACCTAAGAGCACGGGCCTCCAACCTACTAGCAGTGGCCTCCGACCTAAGAGCACTGGCCTCCAAATGCCTCCAACCTACTAGCAGTGGCCTCCAACCTAAGAGCGATGACCTCCAACCTTCTAGCAGCGGCCTCCAACCTAAGAGCGATGGCGTCCAACCTACTAGCAGTGGCCTCCAACCTAAGAGCACGGGCCTCCAACCTACTAGCAGTGGCCTCCGACCTACGAGCAATGGCCTCCAAATGCCTCCAACCTACTAGCAGTGGCCTCCAACCTAAGAGCGACGGCCTCCAACCTACTAGCAGTGGCCTCCAACCTAAGAGCGGTGGCCTCCAACCTACCAGCGGTGGCCTCTTACCTACTAGCAGTGGCCTCCAACCTAAAAGCGATGGCCTCCAACCTACTAGCAGTGGCCTCCAACCTCACTCTAAGAGCGATTGGCCTCCAACCTACCAGCAGTGGCCTCCAACCTAAGAGCGATGACCTCCAACCTACTAGC